ACAACTTGGAGTGTTTTGCTTGCATAGATTTAGTTAACGTTTAAACGTAAGGCAGCACGGTGACAACTGAATTTAAGCATGAGACTCTTATTTTGAAATGTCCGACAGCGATGCCTTCGAGACCACAAATCTCCCGTTTTTATTTGCTTCACTAGTGTCAGGAATAAAAACAAGGTAAAAAACAGAAAACTCTGAAATGTCAGCGATGATAAGTCAAATCTTATGTACACCTGAAATAAGGACACAGTGAAATAATAACATGATGCATTCAAGGTCATCACGTCTTTTCCTCCATTATGAATATGATGATGAGGTTTGCTAATCTTCTCATGCTCACGCAGACACACCAGCAGCCTTTTATGCACACGCTCTGTACGTTTAGGGGTCGACAAAGGACACCATGATGTATCTGGTCCCTTTGGTGACGCGCAGGCCTTCGTGGTAGTGTGTCAGTCGACCTGGGTGCATGAAGGACCAGCCCTTCCTAGGAGACTCCACCTTACAGTCGTACCGCAGGAACCTGCAACCTCCACCCTGACACAAGTACACATGTTGCATTAAGAAAGGCAGGGCTTTAGGGAAAATATTCAGGATAGCATGTTCTTTGGCTTCTTGTTTATTCATCTTTAGATCAGCAGGCTGCGTTACCTCGTAGTCAATGTCCTTCCTGTTCAGGGCGATGTTGATAGTGAAGGTGGAGGAGTCATGATGTGGCCGCAATAACGGTTGCTCATCTGGACGGTAACGCACCACAAAGTTCATAATGGCTTGAGCCTGCATGTAGACAGTGCCAGATCATTTTTAAGAGGATTAACAAAAGACAGCACAAACAGAACAATGTTCCCAACATCAGATAAAAATCTGACCCAGAAACTTTCTGAAGAAAAACATGATTAATGTATAGCTCCTTAGCATTGTGAATTTGTATTCTCTTAGAGTGCACTAGAGAGTGCAGTAGAGCACAGTGTACCCTGACTGTACCCTGGGGCAGATACTGAGTTTTTTTTCTGTAATGCCTGCACTGTCAAAACCTTTGTAGTGGATCAATATCTGGGATTAATTTCGAGGTAAGCATCGGTCTGAGATCATGAGATATTTCTGGGCTGAACTTTGGGTAAGGTCTTGGGAGAACCTCTGAGGACGCTAAGGAGTTATTCTGATGGACTGCACCTTGTGTTCAGGGTGTGCACCCTACCTTAGAGGAAGGCTCTGAATGATAAATGTATCTGGAACTTGAACACTATGGTTATGGTGTGGACAGTACTCAACCCATGGGGTGACTCTAACCTTAATGTTGAGTCTGGACCCGACCCTCTGGTTAAGGTCTGGTCTGTATCTTAGCGTAAGGGTCTTGACAGTACCTTGGTATTGAGTCTAAACCTAGGGTTTGGTCTGTATATTTAGGTGGGAGTTAGGCTATTGATGGTACTTTGGCAAAGACTCTACACTGAAAACCAAGATTTGGATCTAAACTACACTTTAGGGTAAAGCGTGGACTCAGAGGGTCTAAATTGTACTGTGGGATTACGATCTCCTGAGCAATACTTTGACACAAAGTCTTGAATTGAACCCTTAGGTTAGAGTGTAAACTATACTTTGGAGTAAGCTCTGGGCTCTCCCGTGAGGGAGGTTGTGGACTGAACTCCTTGGTGGGGTAGGGAGTCTGAACGTGAGACTGGGGTTAGGCTTTTACCGTACCCTGGGGTAGTAGCCAGGATAGAGTTTCTCAGTGACAGGGGAAATATAATCTTTGAGGAACTTGAGCCACTCCTTCTCAAAGCCGATCTGGTTCATGTGGATATCCACAGTTGGGACATTTTCATAACCGCCAGCCAGACGCTCATCCTAGAAACACAGAAAACACAAAACTGTTAAGTCTTAGTACTTACTTCTGCCCTTGTGTGACAGTTAGAATAAGTGTTTACCTTGTGCGTTCCACCAGACCACTCGCCACAGTCTTCCATGGTTTCTACCATATGGTCACACATTTTGTCTGAGAAAGCTGGAAACCAGTAAACATCTGGACAGGGCTGAAATACAGAGAGATTGTTAAAGCCACGATGATTCTGTAACAATCATTAATAATAATCTGAAAATACTCTACATGGGAGGTGGGCTTTTTTTGCCTCTGGTTCCTGATTCCCCTTCCTCACTTTATTACCTGCTCTACATAAGTCTTCTCATCTTCAAAGATCTTGGAGTAGTTTTCGTGGACATACTTCTCCTTCCAGTCCTGCAAATACAGACAGACAGTCCGAGTTGTTTTAGCTTTACCCACATCATCTAATTTGAGTGTTCACGTACATTTTCCTGACCACAGGGTTGTCGAAGATCTGCCACATGTCTGGGTGGAGCCTGGACGTGTTGTAATTGGACGAGGCCACCAAACGGCCAAATTCGTCACGGTTGGACACATACATGAAGACTCCCTGTGGACATATTAAGTTTTGTTTGTATAAAGTTCAATGAAACAACATCATTGCTGCTTACAAAAGAGCTTTTTTGTAATCCACTCTGACTGTGCTTACAGTTAAAAGCAGAGAACGCTTGTGTTACCTGGTCTCGGATGCTCCTGCAGAACACCATGTCAGCGTCCATGCCCCCTTCATCCATATACAGGCTCACCTGGGACAGTTTAGTCCGCAGCACGCTGCCTTTGATCAGGTAGACCTGAGTGATGTACGGCACATTCCACAGACCTCTGCACAAACACAGGCAGAAGGTTGTTTTACAGACAGGATGTCGCGTCTCAGAGTTTGGTACTGGTTCTTAAGTCTTATGGATTCATCTGTAGTTGGACTTGCTGACTTTCTGGACTTTTTCTAATCTGCCAAATGCTTTTTTTTTTGTTGCCATTTTTGCCTGTTTGAATCCCACATTTGGTTATCTATGCTATAGAATCTGGCACAGGGATCAAAGAAACTGAAACACCAGTTACCCCAAAATAATAGTGACTGCAAAACAATAGCCAAAGCAAAATCTCAACAACTGGAAACACAACCGTGGCACTTAAGAGCAAGAGATCTGCTGAAAGGAGGAGAATCACTTTTTTTCTTTAATGGGAAACCCATCTAAGGTTGTGGTTGGTTTGGGTTTAACCAGATGTTAAGCAGCCACCTCTTCACTGGATACTAGAAATCACTCACTTTCAATTGAGGGCTCATTCGTTCAATGAAAAAACTAAAAACATATGTAGAGTCTCTCATATTTTTTAGAATTAAAATCTGAACACACCAACTGCAACATATACATCATTATTATTATTTTCATTATGACATATCTATTCACTAAATAATGGAACATTTATGACAAACCGATAGAACAATCTAAAATAAAATCACTGAATCAGTTTGACCCGTTTTTTTATTACCTTAAAATTTAGAAATGGATAAACAGCTATAGGTGGGTTTTGTGCTTCTGTTTCATTCATTTAACCTTTATTTAAACTTGAAATTATCTCTTTTGTGACAGTGTACTGGGCCACAATAGGCAGCATTAACCAGTTTCTGTGTGTTACTTACACCCTCTTGCCCTGGACGATCTCAATGTAATCTTCAGATCTGGAGTAGTATCCTTCAGGGCTTAGAGCGCCCCAGAAGTTACTCCACAGCTTTCCATGTTTGGACAGCATGGGTGCTATGACAGACCTGCAAGAACAGCAAAGGGATTCAGAGAACTGGATTAAAATAAAAACCAACAGAATCTAACATAAAGCCTGAGTACTGAGGTGTTTACACATAGCGCCTAATATCTGGAAAGAAGTAGCAGAGAGTAGTCTGAGAGTATTAAAATAGACGCAGGTTCCTTTAGTCTGAAGCCATTAGCCGTTTTTAAAATAAAACAGTGAGAGCTCAAAATAGTCAAAGTTATTTGGCTCCAGTAGAATAATCAGTGTTGCTGTTAACATTCAGGCATCCATTAAACTCCAGACAGCTTGAACTGAACCTTGGGTTTACACTAATGGTCATCGTCTCGTACACCCTCTATGCTATTAGGGTCTAGATGGTACCTTGGCACAGAGACTGGACTGAGCTTTGGGGGTTAATGTCTAAGCTGGAAGAGATCTGTATTAGAGCTTGGGATAGTATCTTGATTTGGGGTAGAGCCTGTAATGGACGTTGAGGCAAAATGTGGCCTGAGCTCTCGGTTAGTGTCAGAGCTGTTTAGGAAAGCTGAATTTGACCTTGGAGTGATAGTCTGGACACAAATACCATCACAGGCAGGAGGAAAATAGCAAAAATGAACCAAACGTCACGAAAAGAAAATCTGAAATGATCCATCCTGGATCAGTCACCATGAAGAAGTCCTGATCATAAGCTTAATCTCCACAACGAAACCCTCGTTGGCCTGAAAAGCATTTAAATATTTGGCTGTCAGTTTTTAAAAACTTATCAACAAATATGTGACATTTTTTTGTAGTCTTTTTAGTTTTTGAGTCTCATCCAGTGCAGATGTGCTCAGGGTTTTACTGACGGTGTAAACACAGCTTCTACGTACTTGTTCTCCTCCATCAGGATCCTCAGGATGTCGGGGTTCGTCAAAGCCACATCGGAGTCGATGCTGAAGTAGTAGTCGCACTCTGGATCCTTCTTACACACCTCGCTGCAGTCAAACAAACAGCCAGGAAGGTTCATTACCTTCGTATTTAGAGAGTTTCCATAAAGGTGACGGTCAGACGTATTTTTTTATCTTACTACAGACGGAATCTGACCTTTTTTTAATGTAATTGTTCTAAATACGCTCCAGTCATTAAACAGATTTAACTTCCTGGTTTATAAATATGCTTCACAGAGCAATTTAAGTGTTTTGTTCTGCCTCATTTCCGTCTTTAAATGTCCTGCTTGAGGTTCCTGCCAAGTCCTGGTTGCGAATGCTGGGTTTTAAGGAAAGAAAGAGATTCAAGGTTGTATACAGCAGTGAAAACTGCTCAATTCCTGGTTGTTTTTCCATGTTTTTTATGTTTCTCCGTCTCGTCAATATGTCGACCTTTATTTTCCTGATCTTTGCGTGTCTTTTGTCCTTTTATTTCCTGTCTTTGTCTTCCTCCTGATTCCCTGATTGTTTCCACCTGTAGCGTATATTTGTCCTCAGAATTTATTCTCTGCCTCTTGCAGGTGCTTATTTGGGGATTTAGGTTTTATCGTATCTTTTGGATTTTCCTAAATTTGAACTTTTGTTTCAGATGAATTAATTGCTCACTATATGAGCTGTACATAAATCCAAATAAAACCACAGAAGGAAAACTACTGTTGATTTCTGCCTTATTGTAAAAATAAATAAAAGTTTTAAAGGTTGGTACTAAAAATGCAAATAGTTAAATATTTGTACATATTTGAGACCGATTTTGCTGACAGTGTTGATAACATCTTTGAAACCTACATTTCGTTTGTGTCATATCTCCTGTTTCCAGGACTTCTTATATTTTACTGTTTTAAAGTTTTTATAATGTCCTTAGAGGTTGTGCACTCACACAGCCATGGTTCTGGCTTCGTCCTCCTTCAGGTTCTCCTCTGGTCCGACTACCCGGGCGTCTGGGAACAGAGACCTGTGACGCTCCCAGAACTTCTGGATGTGACGCTCGTGGTACACGACCTGCAGTACAGGGACACAATAATAATAATGGATTGGATTTATATAGCGCTTTTCAAGGCACCCAAAGTGGTTTACAACGCCACTATTCATTCACTCTCACATTCACACACTGGTGGAGGCAGCTACAGTTGTAGCCACAGCTGCCCTGGGGCAGACTGACAGAGGCGAGGCTGCCATATCGCGCCATCGGCCCCTCTGGCCAACACCAGTAGGCAAGTAGAGTAAAGTGTCTTGCCCAAGGACACAACGACCAGGACAGAGAGCCCAGGGATCGAACCGGCGACCTTCCGGTTACAGATGCGATTCCCAACCCCCTGAGCCACGGTCGCCCCCACAACAGGTCAGAAAGCACATGACACAGGAAGGAAGTTCTGTATGCTGCAAAAATTAACTTTGGCTCTAAATTTAGTGAACAGGCAAAACATTTTTCACAGTTGAAGGCTACTCAAACTACTCTCTGCTTGAGCCACAGTCAGGAACCTTTTCCTTGTGTCAAAGTTGCCTAAAATCTCTCGGTGAGACAATTCTGACTCTTTAATTGTGAATCTTTTTCCTCCCTCTGATGTTCCAGTGAGAGCAGTGAAACTGGAACTCTGTGCGAGTGTGCATCGTACGTTGTTGTGGATGAAGAGGCGAATCCTCGTTTTTGGGTAGTTCAGAGTGGACAGGCGCTCCAGGAACTCCTCCATGAAGGGAGTTGCGTGTTCAATGAAAACAGCGACGTAGACCAGAGGCATCTGTTTGTCCTGAACACACAAACACACGTAGAGTTCAAACACTGACAGGAAAACTTTCTCTCCTCATTATGTCCTCCACTGAGTGGTGCAGGCACCTCACTGAAGAAGAGCAGGTCCTCGTCGCAAATCCCGCAGCCGGTTTCATAGGTCCACACCGTGGGGACGTAGTTACCGAGGTAGTTCAGCTGCAGCTGCAGAGACAAGCAGATGTGCAGAAGTATTAAATATATGTGTTGTGTTTGATAATCAGATTTTTAATGATAGGCAGGAACAGTTTCAAGTGTGAGAAGATCAACGAGTCTTTAGTTTTAAACAGCAGCACAGTGGTTTACTCTAATGCTGGGCTTACACTGTGCGATATTTGGCCATTTTGAGCCGATATTTCAGTCGTGCGACCGTTTTGGGGATCGGCCCGAGTTTGGCCTTCATCGTGTATACGTGGGGTAACGAGAAGCGATTAACACCTCACGACCATCAATCGCTTGGTCGGGAGGATTTCAAACAGGTTGTCACCGCAGCCGCTCACACTGCTCATGCGCAAACACATAGATGTCGGTGAAAATGACGGAGCAGCTGTGCAGCGTGTGATCTGGACACAAGCGATGGAGGCACAACTTGTAGAACTTTGGAAAGCTCATCCGAGCCTTTTCCATGTGGCCTCACAAAATGATCACGACACAACAACCGTGAAAATAGTTGGATCTACATGCTGCTCAATCACAGCTGCCTGATCATGTTTTTCATTAGCAATTCAGCAAAGTTGGTGGTGGTGGTGTGTCTGTGTGAGTGAAAGACAGAGAGAGCGAGCGACAGATTTTGTGTTATAAGCTTCATGTTATGGACGCACAGTGTGAGCACTCAGGTCGCATCAGAGCATCGGGCCGTATAGTGTGAGACCCTCGCGACCTACGAACTTCTAACCCCTGCGAGTCAATCGTGCAGTTTGAGCAGGAGCTGAATGCGACTGAAAGAAATCGCAGTGTGAGCCCAGCTTAACACGTCACACCTGACTCCTGATCACAAAATCTGTCTGCTCTGGTTTTACTATCACATTGTCGTGTTACCTTGGTGGGTCCGTTGCCATGGATAACAACAGGAAGCGTGTCGTAGGCGACATTCCTTGCTCTGACCTTTGCCCTCTCGAATTTCAAGACGACCTCATCTAGAAAGGAGATTTAGTGTAAGTGTTTCTGCTCAATAAGAAACAGCAGTTCCTCAAATGTCCACTTGAGGCTCCAGTGGGAAGTCAGTCCTCATAAGCTCGTGTAAAAATGTCCAACTTTACCGTAGAAACAAACACGACACACCTTGATTCAGTCAGACCAAAGATATATCCTCATAAGAGCCTGAGTACAGTAATAGCACGTTGAAAAAGTTGGACAGATTTATGTCAGAAAGGCATGAATACACATGTATAATAAACCTTTTAATATCTGAATTGAAGTATTTCACATTCAAATCAGAGGTTTTCAGGATGAAGTAACCAGTAGAGTGAGTAACAAAAACCAGAATGAATGTTTCCTTACAAATCGTGGAGCTTCACAGGGCTCTATTATCGATCCTCTACTTTTTACTCAGGTTTAAACTGTGTGCTTGTAAAAGTGAGTCATTCCCCACAGACTGAAATAAACATGTTTACAGCCTGATACAAAAAGTTGTTTTGGTCTCTGTAGCTAATCTCCCCCCTCATAACAACAGGCTTAGAGTTGCATTAACAGGAGTGTAGCCTCTTTGACTAACAGCTGGATGGAGACAGACTGCTACATGTGAAACAGCTGGTTCGCGTGTAAACTGAGCTCTCACATATTTGTGTTTCTTACCAACAGCTCCGTTCAGGTTTTGGAAGATCCGGGATCGATGATCCAGGGTCATGTTAAACTTGGTCTGATGTGACAATAATAAACAGAGCAGCTTTGTCAAGATTTAGACTTTTACAGATAAATTCAGACATGACAAGCTGGGCGAATATCTGAGATTCAAAAACTCTTCTTCTCTGAAATCACTGCTGGCCTAGTTTTCTAAGAATATGTTCAAAACAATTCAGTTTTTTACCCAGCAGTACAGATTAACTTGTTTTGTCTGCAACGTCAAAGACCGTCGACCTGAGGTAACATTAAAGGAGCCAACCTCAGACTAATGTTACTTGTTACTAATGGTAACAAGAAATGCAAAGTGAACTGCAGCCATTATCCTGTCATTGGAGGGAACAGAGTGTGAGGAGGTCTTGTTCTTTAACTTACAATTGGTACAGAAAAAGTATTTACATGAAAATGTTCCTGTTGCGACTGTGACTTGTTCTAGTGGCTCCAACAGTGGCTTTAAAACTGTGGGTTACTTTTGTTTTTTTAATGTTTGCGAAGTTGTTTTTACCCTGTGCGTCTTGTCCAGGTAGATCCTGGTGTAGAAAAGTTGGTCGTCATCGCTGTCTTTGTACTTCCACTGCTGGACAATTGCACTGATCTCTGGAGCATAGCCGATGAACCCTGAAGAGCAAGAAGTCGTGTGTTACTTACTGCTTTAAACTTTTTATAGTATTTTAAAGGAATAGCAGCGAGCTCCTTACCTCCTGAGTTCAGGTAGCGTTTCCCAGTACGCACCTCGGGGTATTTGGAGGCCAGGCGCTGGTCAGGCCAGCAGAAACCCTCAGCTGAGAAAATGACTTTGTGACCCAAACGGGAAAACTTGGACAGCAGCTCCTCAGGACCCGATGCAAAGATCACATCGTAACTGCATGGAGAGAGAAAGAGAAAGAGGGGGGCCTGTTACTGTTTGCAACAGTTTGAATGTGTGGGATAAGCAGACAGAGAGCATGTTTATGACAGAAACAATCAGGACTGAACACTGAGCAGTGGCTAGAAAGAGTGAGAGCCACGTCAGCTTACATGTAAACAGGAAAAAATAAAACATTTAACGGACGATAAATGGAAGAAATTACAGTAAGAGTTCAGCGTGAGCTGCAGACCTCCACAGTCGAGTGTGGCTCATTCCCAACTTTATCCGTCTCTTTCCAGAAAGTCTGAAGTAATGACCGCCTACAGCAGCTCCAGTACAGAGTTTAAGGTGTTCATTAAAACCTAAAACAGGACACAGAGGGGTCTCCTGCTCCTGCTGTGGTCTCCCCTCTACCAGATGATCACCTCGTCTCTGTGATGTTCCACAACTGGGTTATACTGGAGGAAATGGGGGTTTTACAGTTGTGGTCAGAGGTTTAAATACAGTCTTCAAGGGCATGAATTCATGGCGATTTTGGACTTTCCATGATTTATTTAACTGTCCCAGGCTTTTTCAGGGTGGAAGAATTGCGCAGCAAACATCATACATTACCAAAAGAAACTCAATTGAGTTTGAATTTACTGTGTTTTGGATTTTCTCCAACCTTTTCTCTGTAAGGGTCAAATATATGCAATATATGCATTCACTCAGTTAATTTTTTTGTGGTGCTGAAGGTTCTATAGTGTATTTTAGCTGGACAAGGCCAAAGTATATATACTTCCTGTTAGAGATGATGATTGATTACACTTGGCTTCTCTTGGCAGAATAAGAGGGAGACAGTATGTCTGTGATGGTTCTCAGTCATCCAGGTCATCGTAGTCTAAGGAGCTTGGAAAGAAAAGCGTCTGGACTTCTTTAAGTTGCTTGAAGACGTTTCAATGGTGTAGAGTCCCAGATTTAAACCCAGTGGGAGCCAAAGAGGCCATTTATGTCCACTGTGAGCGACCATCTTTGAACAGAGGCGGGGGTTTACGACACCAACTGTCTGCCATCTATAATCCAGTTTTGAGATCCCTCCCCAGACGCCTTAACGCCCACTCACAACCTGGGCCATCTGATCTCAGGACATCACATGGGGCCAGGTTTCACACCCGAAACCTTTGCTGATTGTGACCCACACCTGCTTTCACACTTTGGCTCATGTGATTAGGTGGAGGATCATCAGGGGGTCCTTTGTCCCTCTTTGGGGGGAAACTCCCACTGGGTTTAAATCTGGGACTTTCCGCCGTTTGACCTTTGAACTGAAGAAGCTTCTCGGATGAGAGGTGAAACGTCTTCAAGCAACTTAAAGAAGTCCAGACGCTTTTCTTTCGATTGGCTGACAGCACCCGTCAGACTGACCAATGCCAAAATAGTATTTTAATTTATTTGTTATTTTTGGGTCCACAATTTGGACCCTAGCTACACAGACAGTTTGGGAACCACCAGCTGCTAGGAAAAAATGTATTCGTACGACCTAAACTGTTAGTGAGTGGCCACTGGAGGTCGCTGGACTACAAACCTGTGACTGCTTTGGTTGCAAGAGGATTGCCATGAAAGATGATGACCTGTCTGCAAACGCTCGCTAATTTACCACCATGTGACTGTCAAACTTGAAAAAGGTCAACCGAACCTTAGCTTCAAAGTAAAAGTTTACATTTACTACTGCAGCCAATACATTTTAAAGTCGCAAGTTTTACTTTGAAGGCAAAAGTTATCCATTGTGTGGTTTTTCTGCCATGTCGCGAGTAGTCAATGAGTCTTTACATGCAAGTCGTCTTTTATGTAAACTACAGGAGACCGTGGCAATCTATTAAAGACTGAAGCGATCCAAAAAATGAAGCTTTCAGTGCAGCACTGTGTGCTTCTTTCATCTTCATGGTTTATCATTTGCTAACTTGTCACGAAACACTTTTCCCCTAACAACCAGTCGTCACCCATCCTTCCCCAGGCCTCCGTGACTGGGTTTGTATTTCTGGATTGGTCTGAACTTTAGCTTTAGTTAACAGTAACAACACTGGAGCTCAGAACCAGTGAAATCCCTGCACAGGTCACAGGTGGTGCCTGAGCTCTGATTTCACTGTTTATCTGCTAATCGAACAATACGAAAATTCATATCATTCATTTTTGTGAGAAAAGCTTTGTCCTCGTGTGTGTCAAAGTAGGTCAGAAAGAAAAAGTAAAGACACAACAAAAGCAGCGAAAACTGAGACAAGATAAAGAACAGAAGGAGTAGAGCTGTGAAAAGACAGAAATCAGGACTGATGGGAACGATAAGTATATCACACACACACACACACACACACACACACACACACACACACACACAGTTTACCTGTCCACAAACATGATGACGAGCTCCGTCTTCTCCGAGTGCTTCTGCACCTCCTTCTTCAACCATCTCACCTTCTGTCCTCCACCCACCGTCCGAGCGACGTCGCCTCCCTTCCACTCCTCGCCCAGACCCAGGACCTGTACACCACCATCACATCATTAAACTCATTTGCATCCAATAAATCCTCTGACAGCTGATCTGCTCATGTGATCACTGAAAGTGTTTCTAAAGGATCTGCAGCACAAAAAAACAGAAACAGTTTTATTTTTTTTATTTATTTTTTTATTTTCTCCGCTGGAGTTGTTCCTGCACCTTAAACAAAGATGTTTTACTGCAGTCAGAGCTGCAATGTGTGGCATCAGACATCAGCAGCACCTCAGCCAGGGATGTAATGGATTACTCTTTAATGACACTAACCTCACCAGGTCACAGGTTACTCTTTAACACAAAGTTACCCAGCAGTGTAACTTGTGTGTGTGTGTTACCTTCACAGTGTAGTTGAACTCTTGGGCTGTCCTCATGAAGCGCAGGAAGCCGTCCGTCTCCTCTGTTGCCACGGTGATGACCAGCAAGTTTTCTGCAAACACATCAGGTGATCAGCATGACGTTGTCAAATCAACTGAGAACTCTTGTTTTTTGTTTTTTTTACAACTGGTAAATATATAACGATCCATTTTGGCAAATATTGAAATATTTGGAGGATGTGCTGCTGTATGCTGGTAACACTCAGTCCTGTTTGCAGACACCAGCAGCTGCCAGAGTTTCCCTGCAGGCTTTTTATTAGGAATTGGGAGCAGAATTCCTCTGAAATTCCAGGGAAAGTCAAAGAGGGGAGGAGTAGCATGGGGGAGGAGAGGGTCTGTGACCAAAGCCCCTGCTGTGCTCCTGAGGGTCTGACGTGTTTTAACGTGCGAGAGCAATAACACTTTCACTGCAGCGCAGGGCCGAGAAAACAGCTGTGCAACAAAGCTCCTTAAATATCCCGAGAAATCGCTCCCATCCTCTCTCTGTGCAAACAGCTGGTTCAGATACCATCAAACCAAACATGGTAAAAGCTCCTCCTCCTCCTCTGCTCCTTTTTTGGCAGCGTTTGATTGAAAGTGTCTCGAAAGTTTACTGTGAGGTTTCCAGCCAGGTGTCACGGTTTTTCAACACGTCACTAAATAACGACGTCCCCTTCCCACCAGCAGCACTCATGGGTAGTTGTGTTTGAGTTCAGCTGAGCTGAGCGAGTGCATATGGAAGGAAATTCTCCTATTTTTAACCCCCATCGTTTTTATTCTTTAGAACTTCTAGATTTTTGAAAAAGGAGTTTTCCTTCCCACTGTCGCCAAGTGCTCACTCAGTCTGACTGTTGAGGTTTTCACTGTATTATTTCAGGGTCTTTGCCCTAAAATGTAAAGTTGTTATGCCTTTGTGCTATATAAATAAATCTGAATTGAATAGAATAGATTCCTAGGGGTGTGTCAAAGGTCATTGTCAACAGCCCATGAAAGTCTCTGCAGCTGCCTGCGGGGCAGACTCTGGGTCTCAAACTAAAAGGAAGGATTTCAGCCTCCATCTTATGGCGGGTGTTTGGCTTTGTAGATCGCAGGTCTTTGTATTGTATCTGTCCAGATGTTAACTCAGGCTCACCCAGCTGCTGAGAAGCTCCAGCTCCCTTAAAATCCAGCTGCTACCAGAATTCATTCAGGATTAATTATTAAATAACTGATAAATATCTTTTAGTTATTTTAATTCCATTTGGGTTTGTTGTCTCTTTCCTCATCATGCTGCTTTCCTAATGAATGAACGACAAAAGCAGATGTGCGCCAGCGAAACCGAGTCACATCCTGACAAACGATCCATAAAGTGACCTCTGTCCAGGTCTTCCCTCCATGTTTATACTGAATCATTTCCATAACCAAATATGAGCAGAATTCATATTTCGCTCCTTCTTACAAAGATGTTTGTGTGTTTGCCAACTCTCATGGAAATATGTTGAAATATGACATGCATGATGAAAATGTAAAAAATGTAAAGACTTCCTTTTTCCATTCCTTGATTTGAATCTGTGGGACCAGGTCGGAGATGTGGAGCCTTGGAGAATGTTACAGATCCAAGCAGCAGATCTGAGTGGGCTCATTTCTTTCGTTTTCACATCAGTTTGCACAGCGCGCACATCATAAACACATTTCAAATTCTTTCTCAGCTTTGGTCAAATATTTTTTAAGACAAGTAGAACACTTAAACATCGAGTACTGGGGATTTTCTTCTTCTAATGAAGCCAAAAAATTTTCCACCTGAGTGTTTTTAGGGTTACAGGCTCTCAAAGTACAAAGAAATATTGGCCCAAATGCAGCACTTTTTACTCGTTTCATAGCCCTCTTAGCTATATAGTTCAGAACATTTAGCACAGTTCATCAGCACAGTTTAAACACAAGCAGTTCATACTATGAAGGTACTACAGCTGATTGTGAGGGGTCAGGAGGGAACGTTTCACAGGAACGGCCCATATGAAGGAAATACAGGAAGTTTATATCAGCATAAACATTTAATGTTTGTCCAAATAATGTTTGCATAATGTCACTGTGCTAGTGTTAACAAGCAGAACCGTTCAGAGCCTCACACATGCAAGCATGCAGACCGTTCAGAACTACCTGCCGGGTTCAGGTGTTTGAAGTTAAACCTATCTGGACATTTTTATTCTCTACTCAGGTTAAACATGATATACAAGTCACTTGGAAAACTTAAACATGTTGTTGTTTGGGGTTTTTTTTTTTTTTTAGAGTAAATCGGTTTGGCTGAGATCAAAGTTATAGTTTTTACACAGCTGAATAAATGTCAAGCAGACAGCTGATCATCAGAAGTGTGAGATGCTCGAGATTATACTCCGGTGTCCTGTTATATTTTAGATAGCAAGGAGTTTATTAAACTTCACCGAAACAACCTGCAAATGTCATTAAAATTGAATAAACTATCATCTTGTCTTTATCTTTAGTTAGCACAGACCTTAAGCACTTAAAGCTGTAAGCTAATGATAGTTATATAAGAGCAGATGCTGCTGGTGCAATGAGCTGTACGGTTTACGTCCAGTGGATGATGATCTGATTAGTCGACTAATAGAAAAAATAATCGGTGACTAGTCGACGATCAAAATAATCATTTGTGGTGGCAGCCCTACTACCGACCATGTCTGAGCTGATCCCTGTTCTGCTTTTTAAGGACCAACCACACTAAAAACCACCTTCTTCCAACCTGCCAGGAGCATTTTCCAGCCTGATGGGAGCACCGTGTCAGAAGACAACACAGAGCCTCGGAAAGATCCCCAAATTAAAATCTTGGGCCCATGGACACATCTTAATCTGATCCACAATCTATGATCAGTGCTTAAAAAGCAGGTGGACAAACAGGAGCCCACAAACTGTGGTTAACTAAGAGCCACAGAGATCTGCAGGAGTTATGAAGAAGAACAGACTGTTCTCTCTGTTGAGGTCAGGAAAGCGATTCCGCTCCTTGAAGACCAACACAGAGAGACTGAGGAGGAGCTTCTTCCCGCAGGCGATACGGTCTCTCAATCACACACCACACAGTACTGACCCACACATATGGTTCTTACACACACACTGGACATTCTGGACTTTGTTTTCACTTCATCACTTAAATCACTTTAAGCATATTTGCACTGCACAAGACATAATGTGGATTGCACAACACTGGTCACTACATTCTTCATTTCCAGTTAATACTTGTACAGCTGCTGTTATTGTGTATATATTTATATTTCTTCATACATTCTTATATAGTTCTATACTGTGTATTGTGTGTTTTGTTGTACAGTTATTTTATCTTATTCTCTCCCAGTTAAATTTATCCTTCATTCTAATTTGTGTTGTACAGTTGTTTCATTTTTAACCTTAATTTATATTTTATTCCTTCCTAGTTAAATTTACCCTTTTTAATTTTCATATTTATTTCCTATCTTATTCATAGCCTTTTCTTTTTTCTTTAGGTCACGAGCAGTTGTCCAAGCATTTCACTGCATATCGCACTGTGTATGACTGTGTACGTGACAAATAAAATTTGAATTTGAATTTGAAGAGTCAACACTGTAAATGACTCCTATAAAAGTCTGTCACAGAAATGTAAAAAATAAATAAAAACTGATGAAACACAAACTCTGTTACGTTCAGCCAATAGAAACTCGCCATGCTCAGTGTCACAAGTCAGATTCAGAGCTGCTGAGCACAACATGGAGGAAGTGCTCAGATACACAACAACCTCCCAGAGGAAGAAGGCGAGTTTAAGTAAGATGCTCTCACTGGTTCACAAACTCACTTTGTGACAGAGGTACAGCCTCTCGGGGTTAACTTCACTGTGTCTGTGATTGTCTGAGATGTTTTAGAGAAATACGTCTTCAGCTGGGCTGTGTTTAAAATGTGCCACAGAACCTGAGAAAAACTGAGACACTTCTTGTGAGCTCAGATATCTGAAGCCTTCAGATGAGCTAAAACACCAGCTGATTATCTATTATTAACAATTTAACAGCTTCTTTATATACACAAAAAAGGTGTTTTACTAAAATATAACAATCCTGGCGTTCCTCTGAAGAATAAGCATCAGGACTGGGATAAAAGTGCGAGCAAAGAATTCACTTTTATGTATCAAAAGACCAAAACTCAAAGATCCTGAAGGAGGAAGAACCTGTAAACTGATTATTGATTTGATCAATGAATTAATCTCGGGATAAAGCAAAAGAAGTCTTTAAACTGGATCCCATAAATGAGTGAAAATGGCTTCAGATTTCAGTCAAATATTTAAAAATCTATTTTTTTCAGTTATTTTTTCTGTTATTATCTGAGTGTCTGTGAACTTTAAAAAAAAAAAAACAACAGGTTTACAACAAGAAGGACATCTCGTCGTCAGTCTCACTCTGCTCCCTTTAAAAACGCCTCACATAAGTAATATAAACATGAATACAGACCACAGCTGAGCAAACAAACCTCACAGGGACGCACCAAAGACAGGATGGAAAACACAGATCAGATTTAAACCGGTTATTCTTTTGAAAAACGTTTATTCTGTGTAAGACATCATCTCTGCTTCACAGACCTGCCAGTGAGAGGTTCATGATGGAAATCATTAATCCTGCTACATAAAACGTGCTGTGGGCTCCCACAGTGGCTTTTTAAACCTAATTTAATCCACTTACAATACATGTTTTACTTATTTAAATGCAGTTAACTAAAATTCTTTATTCTAATACGATTATAAAATATGCAATCAAAATGATCACACTATTTTCAAAGTCCCAGCTCTCATTTGAGGCTGTAAAACCTCGTTTGAGTGGGTTGATCAGTGATTTGTAATCTTTACTGCTGGATGTAAGCATCCCTGCGTGAATGTGTCAGTTTGTGGGGATGTCTAACTTTCTTTAATATTTGAATTTTATCCGATATGCGAAGCACTTTGTACCTTTGTGTTTCTGTGATTAAAACTGATACATGTTAACCACGCTGTGTGGTAGATTATACGTGGAAAAATGGAAATAAAGATCCAGGAAACAAAGTTGCACATTAAGATTTTCCAGAGTTTAGGGAATCATTAATAACCTGTAGGGATTACAATAAGTGTATATGAGGTTAGGGAGCAGGTCCACCGTGAGCCCCTCGGGTGAGTATTTGGGGTCATTATTGAGACTTTTTGTGATATTTACATTTTGCTCTGACATGAACACAACCCCCTGTTAAAGTTTGCTAACGGTCCTGTGGCGCTAACGGTTTTAATAATTAATAAACATCCTTCCTAAACTCACCCAGCAGCTGAATAACGGAATAAACTCTGAAAATAGTGAATAGGTTTGTGACGTGATGAGCAGCCTTTCCGTAACCCACCCCGAGCTCCACAGCTCCAGCGGGTCACGGTGGTCCGCCCGGCCGATCAGGGGACCCCGCACAGCGGTCTTACCTGGAGAAAGCTTCCGCTGTTCGGCCCACACGGCGCCGTGGAAAAAGGCGAGAGACAGCAGGCGGAAAAGAAAACTGGAGGACATATTGGATGTTTGGACACGGCTCCGTTTAGACTGTAGGCCGTAGCTTTAGTCCACTCTTTCTCCTCTCTTCCCGGACCTCTCTCTTCACGTTCACCGCTCAGTCGGCACTCGACTCTCGCGATACTCGTCACCTTTTCCGACTTTTAAAAGAAAGTCAACAGAAACCGCAAAAAGCTATCCAGCCAATGAGAACAGAAATGACGCGATACAGCTTTGACGGACAGAGCTGGTATCCAATCAGCACAGATAGTCGGAAATCCACCAGCCAATAAGAGGCAGACATATGGGAACTTTTTTTCTCTTCGTTTTACGGTGGGCTAAACCACCGAAAGTTCGTGAAAAATGGAGTACGTGAATCTTTGCCACGTCTGAGGCTTTCAGGAGAGGGAGGGAGAGGGAGAGACATAGCGAGGACATGGAAAAACGGAGAGAGAGCGTGCGTCGGCAGAGGTTTTATATAGCTTTAAAGTCGCATGTCTGCAATAAAATCTATAATGATGTTTAATCATTATAATTACACCCAAAATGTATTCATAATTTAGTATTTATTTACATAATTTATTTAAGAAACAATTAACATTTTCCTAATGAAATATTAACACTGCGAGTTCTTTTCCTGACATACATAGCATGCATGAATAAACTCTCAAAATCGTTTTTCTTTAGCTCTTTTGTAAAAAATCACTTTCTCCCAAATAATTGACTCAAAATATAAAAGTAAAGAACTGGGTGAAGAGACTGCAAACATAGCTGTTCTGTAAATACAGCAATCCAGCATTTATTCTACATTTACCATCTAGTAAGCTAAAAGCATACGTTATTAGAGGGTGGATGCTCTAAACTCTAGATCACTGGTTTCTTTCTGTGTGTCTCAGGATTTAATAAAACTACAATCTACACCACAGTGTCACAACAAGGGGCCCAACATCTTATTCCTGGTCCCAGTTGATTAACACTGCAGTGTTAATCAACTGGGACCAGGAATAAGATGAGATAAGATAAGATAAGACTTTATTGACCCCACGGAGGCAAAATTTGTGCTGTGTTTCGTTGTTCTTGTAACATTGACAATTAAATCTATTCTATTCAATAAGGGGGTCATGTCAGTAAAACACAAGTATAGATGTATAAAAAGGAGGCAGAGGTTTTATAATACCTTTTAAAAACCCTTTTCTTTCAAACTGACCTGGTTTTAATTTTCATTTGTTTTAAAGACAGTATTTAACTCTTTGTACTCTTAAACTCTTTAACTCTTTACTCAAGATATGAAAGTAAAGATCTGGAGAAAGAGACAGTAGCCACACTTTGTTAGCAATTACAACAATCAGAGATTTAGTTATTGTATTTTTTTATTTTATTAAACAGATTTCAGTCATATCACAGTAATCCCTGGATTAACTAGTGGGAAGTGACCAATTATGCTGGAACATATAGCAGGATGTTTTAACAAAACATGACAAAGGCATGCTATGGAAGAGATCCAGAGATGATTAAATTCAGAATAGTGTATAAATGCACTAGTCACACACACCATGCTTCCACATCATGCTAATTATAGAGTTCCACAGGGTTCTGTGCTGAGACCAATTCTGCTTACATTATACATGCTTTCCTCCAGCCTATGTTATCTGCTTTAAGGTACACATTTAAGAGTTATGCCAGGGATTCAAGTCCTTCTGATCTGAGTATTTTTTAAGTCATACACAGGGAAGATGTAAAATTAGTAACAAATGTCAAAGAGGGAGCACATACAGGCAGGGATCCAAGTGACCACACTTTATTTACAGTGAAAGTTTAAAGGTCCAATCTCTTCCAGGCTTAAATCCAGAAAATGTCAATTTTCCCCCAGAATCCACACCAGATTTTGCTCATCACTTTGTGTCTGATAATCTTTAGGGATGGGAATCTTGAAACAGTTGTTTCAAGACTGTGTTGAGCTTCTTCAGCTCATATGTTTCAAAACACCGCACGGAAGCATGGTTCAACACACCCAGGTCACATGACCATGACTTAACAAAGTTTTGATGTGTTTCACTTCAGTTTCAAGAGGTGGTCGAAGAGGCAAGACTCACCTCAACCTCGTAGTGTGTGGAGCAGCGGCTGCCCATAGAGAGCATTTTTCACCTGCA